TGCAGGTGGGAGTCATGGAGTACTCTCGAACCAATGCTCCCCTTCTCCCTTCGCATGAGTTCTGTAGAATTGAATGAAGGCAATCAGGCAGGATTGGGTGGCAAGAGCCTTTGCCTGCTGAACTATCGTCCTACAAAAAAAAAATGGAATTTTAATAACCCAAATGGGACTGTTACTCAGAGTAGGGTGACCTAGGCAGTGTAATAAAAGTGCTGAGACTTCTCAGTAGTGAATGTCCATCACACTAGGTCTTCATTTATTAAGAATGGAAGCTGATTTTCTCAGTTCCGAAGGCATGTATTGGTAGGTTCAGTGTGTGATGGGAGCCTGGTCTCTGCTTCCAAGATGACTTATTAGGCCCCATGGGGGAGGAACAATCTATCCATCCGTGACCCTTGTGTGACCTAATCCCAAGATCTAAAGAGCACCATTTCCTGAGGCTAGTACATCAGAAACTGAGTTCTGGAGGGGAAACAGTCAAACTAAAACATCATTCAAGGCTACTTCTGCTAGGGACTCCATCAGATATGGGTCCAAAAGTGTTTAGCTCTGCCTCATCATCGCTGGAGAGAGATGCTTGCCTCTCTCAATGTCTTAAATAAGACTCAGACCACTTTGTCATCTAAGTGGGCTCCCTTGCAGGAAGCAGTGGGATTCCTTGCCATTAGAAACCAGAGGTGACCACTCTATCTCTTATTTGGCTTCCAGATGTTTGGGGTAGCCACCCAAGGCACTGGAAGCAAGGGTGCAACAGACGGGGCCAGAATAGTGGAGAAATCTTGTGCATGACCTTGGCCTCAAGCCTGCACTGAACCTTGCTCTGCTTGCTTATGCACTAGCTTCCTTCTTATTGGAATGAGAAAAAACTTATGAATGGAGCAAGGACTGCAAGAAACAGTATGTGAGCAGTGTTCAGCCAAGCTACAGGCACATGCCAGTGTCCACTGAGATGAATGAATTGTCGAATGTCTGAGAGGAGGACTAAAAATGATGGTCTCCCTGTACTTTTTGCCCCGAGCTGTGATTCCCATTAGTTTGAGCCTCCTGCCTGTAATGTACACCCCCTGTGACTTTTGTCCATTTCCGGGGAAAGAGAGGGAACTCTTAAAGGTTTTTCTTCTCAGTGCCTCTGCATGGAGAGTGGCTTCCTCATGCTGCTCTGTGGGTGATCTCTATGTGTGATTCGGGTGCTGTGGGGGTGGGGCACACCGAGTCTCACTAACCATCCAGAATGAAGTTCTGCAACTCTGGTGAACTGCCACTGTCCCTGCTAGAAAAAGGATGTGGGAATTCTGGAGCAAAGTCCTTCCCCAGAGAGAACAGGCACAGGGAATGACTAAGCCGTCCCCATGGTGAAAATGCCTCAGGAGCCTGGAATACAGAGAGCTGTGGATGTCCCGGAGAGCTGTGACATCCAGGAGAGCAGACAGGAAGGTGGACGGCAGCTCCGTGATTCATAACAAGAAAACCTCTTAGGCGGAAATGGGAAAGATGGGTGCTGAAGAGGCCTCCCATTGTCCTCAGCTGCCTGGCCCATCATGGAGATGTTATTTGTGAGCTTGGTGATGGAATTGCTGCTAACTATTGTCCCAGCCAGTGTTTGTTAACACGCATCAAGTTCCCAGAAGAGGGACACTCCCATTACCACATCACCTCCTCCCCAAGTTGATGCAGGAAACTGGGGCTAGACTCCTATTCCAGAAGGACATTGGAAATTGGGGCACCAGGGATACCTGGTGACTTTGGAGAGGAAAGCCCAGCACCACCAAGGGAGGGGCATGCCTATGTGATATGTCTGTTTGCTCTCAAGACCTTCTTGCTTTGCTTCCACTGGGGATATCGCCTGATGTCCCTGGAAGAATTTCAGGTGACCAGCAGTGGGGAGGCAAATGAGTTTATGGAATCTGTTTCTCTGTGGGGCCCTGTGTCCTTCTGCAGAGGCTCTGGGTCCGGGGGTGGGAAAAGACTTCTTCACTCAAGTTTCTGCATGCCAGGGTTCGGGTCCTTTCCGTAAGTTCCAGAGGCTGCACCATCCCCATGGCCTCCCGTCAGCCCAGCCCAGACTTGTGCAAGCAGCTCTTTTCTCCTCTGTCCCCATCACCCTGTTGGAAGGCTGTTTCCAGCAGGGACAACAGCTAGTAACGAGGTGAGTTTCCTCCAGGATTCTCTGGGATGGGGCATCTTGGCTTGAGTCCCTCTTGAGAGCATTGACTTTAGATTGGATGACAGTCTTGTCCCAGTGGTTCCCAGCTGTGAGCCTGGGAGCCTCTTGTCATTCTCCAAGTCTCCTTAGGGTTGCTATTTGCAAAGAGAAATGGTGGTGCTGCTTGCTTTGTAGTCTCTTATGTAAATGAACGGAGGGACAGACACTGGATGCTAGCAAAGACTTGGCTCAGTGACCCTGACCTGTGTCTTCTGTTCCCCTCACCCCACCTCCACTAACTTTCTTCTGCCACCAGGGAGAAGGGGAAGGCTTTCTGTAGGCAGTATTCCTCATAGCCTGGCCGTGTGGGTGATAACTAGTTATTAACGCAATTGGAAGCTGTGCATCCCACATTGTATAGTTACGAACATAAAAGGATTGTTACCTTCCCTAATGTCCCATGGCCAAAGACCTACTAATCCCAACCTATGCCCAACTTTCTTTCCCCAAATTCAGTACTAATGCCTCTTGTTTGAGTATTTACTTAGAAATCTAACTTCTTTTTAACACTTACTTTGTTTAGCTCATGCGTGCGCACGTGTGTGTGTGTGTGTGTGTGTGTGTGTGTGCACGCGCGCGCGCTGTGCCGTGGTACTCATGTGGAAATCAGAAGACAGCTTGCAGGAATCCGTTCCTCCTTCCATCACAAGAGTTCCAGGGGGTGCATTCAGGGTGTGAACCTTGGTGGCAGACACGGTTACTTAGTGAACTACCTTGAAGGCTCTGGTTTGAGTTTTTAAACGCGTCTCTTGAGGGGGCTGGATTACAGCCCAGCCCTATTATTTCAAGCTGGACAGACAGGCCTTTCCCTCCGTGCTACATCACACTGAATTAGGAACTCAGGGAGCATGTACTAAAAATAATCATTATCACCCCAGGGCAGCCAGCACTTGACCACAACCTGTTTATACCCCTGGGGCTCTCTCTCTCTCTCTCTCTCTCTCTCTCTCTCTGTGTGTGTGTGTGTGTGTGTGTGTGGTATGTATGTGTGTAGGTAGGTAGAAATGTTGCCATTTCTCAGGTGCTGTCCACATGAGACAACATCCCCCAAACCTGTCTGGAACTCACTGATTTGGCTAGACTGGTTGGTCAGAGAGCCCCCAGGACCCACTCATCGTCCCCACCCCCAAGCACTGGGGTTGCCAGGGAACAACCTGAGCCTGATAATTTCCCCCAAGGATTCTAAGATCAAACTCAGAGCCTTGTGTTTGCACAGCAAGCACTTTACCGAGCTGTCCTCCCAGCTCCTCTTGTTGTCTGTAAACTTAAGGGATGCTCCTCACAGCAAGAACAAGCTCGCCTCCCTCTTTATCCTTTCCCGCTGACAGTCTCCCACAGCTGAGCCTTAGATGTGCTCAAACTCCAGCAATGGGCTTCATAGGACAGAAACTGGCAGGAAAGCAGAGTTGCTGTGATGCCCCAGGTAGGCTGTGCTCTGCTAGCTCAGAGACTACAAGCTGGGTCCTATTTACAATCAGGACTTGAAGGAGTGGGTGTGCCTGGTACCAGCTACCCAGAAGGGATTCTCCTCAAATCAAGGCTAACAAAGTCCCCAAGCTCACCATGATCTGAAGGCATTTGTGACTGAATACAGCAGGGATCAACAGTCCTGACAACCCACTTTGAGAGAATGGCTGATCCTCCTTTTCAGACTTCTGAGTGTCTGAAAGAACAGAAACATCTTAGCTAGAGAAATAGCCAGCATTATAGAAGAGAGGAGACGTGCTAAAGAGAGCTAAAGGGGGCAGCTGTGCAGTCCTGGGGACAGAAGCACGAAGGGAAGCATGTAGTGGGGGACATGCATGGGCCATGGGTTCACTTGGGGCAGGCAGTTGCCACCTGCTCTGCATCCTGAGACACCAGCTTTTGTTCAGATGGCCTTCCAGGCAGCAGTCCCTGACTCCCGGAAGTCATTTCCTGAAGCTGATAATGAAGATGACTCACTTGGAACCTTGGTGGCTCTGAGGGGAGGGAGGAGGAGGGTAAGACACAACATGGGGCTTGTCCATTCCGGAACCAGATGCCAGACCAGGCCAGGAGGCGGCAGGGAACCAGGAGCCAGCTTCTGTAAGGCACACGTTCCTCTTCTCAGCATTCACAGAGCAGGAAGGTGTGCTGGGGTCCGGGACCACTGGACAGATGGAGTGCCTTCTCTTCTGTCCTTGGTGCTGGGGTCCGGGACCACTGGACTGATGGAGCTGCGACTCTACTGTCCTTGGTACTGGGGTCTGGGATCACTGGAGTGACACTCTGTCTCTACTGTCCTTGGAGCTGGGGTCCAGGACTACTGAAGTGATGGAGTGCCTTCTCTACTGTCCTTGGAGCTAATAACCTTGAGAGGCTGCTGCTCTTCCTGTCCCAGTTTGGTTTCCATGGGAACTGGATGGCAATGTGATCTCTTTGCTGAGGTGAAATGCCCCAGGATGTCTTAAATACCACCACCAGAGAGGAGACCATCTAAAAGATTGTCCTGCAGGGCATTTCCTCAGAGCCCTTCCACTTCCTCTCAAGTTGTAAGAGTCCAGATTTTCTGTCCTCACTTTGATTTAGCCTGTGGGAGGGGCGTGTGACATAGGCAGTCTTTCGGTGTTCCTAGAGTCTTCACTATTCACCAACTGCCTGGTTCCTGGTGTGTGGTTATTGCTTATTGAATGGATTCATGGGTGAAGGCTGGGTTCCGATAAAACCTAAGTAATCCGGTACTCTCTCCATACATCCAGTTAGTAGCATGGAGCTCTTTGTGTTCCTGGCTCTCACTGCATTTGCCTTTTGACAAAGTGACACCATGGTTCAGTCTTAAACTGCTCTAGATGTATTTTAATTTTATTTCTCAGAAAATGCAAATGATACATTTGAGAGTAGACACAGCCAGGCTTGCTGACTGACAGTCACAGAACTTTCTAGAATGGGCCATGGACTGTTAAGCAGGATGCTGGACAATGGACAGACTTGGAATAAACAGTATCACTCCTGAGATCGTGGAAAAACCCCAGGCTTTGGTTTCAAATCTTAGCCCTATTCTTAGGAAGCTTTGAGCACCCATGGGGATACCGGGGCTGTAGAAATCACGAGTCTTAATGCATAAAGTAGGATGACAATGGATTTTGTCTCTAGGCTGTGCTGTGTGCACTAAATGAGTCAACATACACGAAGTGCTGCGGCTGGCTTACCTGTCTACTATTGCCATTCTCATATATTATTCATTATGAGGTACATTCTTTCTATTTCTACATCTGCGAAACTTGAGGACTTTTTCTTCCATCTTGTTTATACACAGAATAATGCTGGGCCCTCAGCAGACCGTGCTGTAGAGCCACTGGAATCCATTACATTGTTGTCATCCCCAAAGGCTAGAACAAGGTCTGGGTAGGAACAGGGACTCCGTGGCTGTTAGAAGGAGGAAATTCTTCCTGCTCCAGTAAGATACAAAATATGCTCTTTCTGGGTCTGTGACTCCTCAGGCTCCACACCGTCCTGGTCATGAGTGGGTGCTTGGCCATCATCAGAGTGGAAGCACAACCTAGCAAAAGACCCTGCTGTCGGGCAGGCAGTGGTCTTGTTTCTTTGGGTGTTGGGCTACGTTGGTGTTTAGGGTTCCTCATTCTGTATTTTCCCAGCCATCTGAATTTTGTCTGAGTATTCACCAGGATTCTGCCGAATACCCAGTAGAATGTGTGTATACAAAAACTGCAGAACTAGCCTAGAATGTTCTGGAAGCTAGTAAGTCTAAACCATTGCAAGTGGACTGGCGATCCAGCAAGGAGCTGGTGTTGGAGTTCCAGTCACAGACAGTCTGCCGGAGAGTCCTTCTGGCTTGGGTTAGGTCGGAGCTCTGTGCTCTTTAGGTCTTTGCTGTCTAGATGAGGCTCACCTGCAAGAGGAAGGGCAATGTGTTTTATCCAGCATTTGCTGACTTAAACAGCCACCCCATCCAGCAAGGCCCTTCACAGACACCAGGTTCTTCGCATGCTTAAACCCTGACCACAGAGCCCAACTTTCTACTACCAGAAAAGTCTGGAATAGTTTCTGATCATGTGTCTTCAGATCCTGTCCCAGACAAGCTGGCACAAAAATAGCCATCACAGCATCTTAGGGAACATTCCCGGAGGGAAGATGTCACCTTAGCTGAAAATCAGCCTTGTCTGGAGAGACTACTCTTGGCATTTGGTAAACAATACTGGTGTCGTCCACTATCCCCCAACGATTCTGTACCCTAAGTCGTGAAAGGAAGAGAAACAGAAGGCAGGGTTCACATGACTTATCAATAGAGAGTCCCGGGAAAGCAGTCAGTGCACAGATCACATCTGGGCTCCTCTGTCTTGAACTCCTGCTGTTGAGGGAGGATGATGGCTGCTGCTGCTGGTGTTTTACCATCCTATCTAGCACTTACGTTTACTGTGGTTCAGACATTGTCCTAAGTCTTTTAGAAACAACAGCCCTCTTCGCCAGCTCCACATCCTATCTCCCCTGCCCTGTGCCAATGCTGAGGCCGATGTGACTGGTCATTCGAAGGTGTGAATCAACCTCGTCTGGGCACAGACCTCCCCAGGAGGGCGCCAAACAGTGCTGTACTCTCCACTCTCCCATCTTCCCTGATATTTTTCCTGAGCAAGAGATGAATGCTGGCTATGGTGGACATGTCTGCTCGGCTGTGCGGCTCATACTTCATTTGTTCTCAGTGCCTTCTAATGGTTTCTGAGATTAGGGCCCAACTTTGTTGACACAGGTTTGATGAGCAGAGGAGGACAGGAAGCAGGGATCCTGGCAACAGCCCAACCTTTACCTGTCTGCCATCCTGAACCCTTGCTTTGTGCCGAGGTTTCTTAGTTGCCCGAGGTCATCCCTGTCCCAGGGGTAAGAAGTGTGTGTGTCTCATTAGCCAGCTGTCTGTCTCTAAGCATATGCTAGGACTAAGTGCTGATAGACTTGCAAAGAAGGGAGCGCCACACTGATGAACAGGCCAGTTGGTGGTGGATGAAGCTTTCGGTAGATGAACCAGGCCAGCGTTTGGTAACAGCGTGCAGCGGAACACGCCAACCTGATGTAGTCAGCTGTGTGTTTGAAAAGCATGTTGGGTTATCATTTTCTTTGTTCTGTTATAAACTGACGCTGCCTGAGGTCATGGAAGTTGGGATCAACTAAATCTGACTTCCCGAGCTGTGGACACTCGTACTTGGCTCCCAAACAAACTCTCCAAGATAGATTTGTATTTCTTTCTTTAATAAGATGTCGCCACAGGCTCCAAAGAATGGGACCAAGCAGCGATGGACTGAAACTTCCCAAACTGAGCTAACACAAGCCACTTTTCTTCACAGGTTGATTTACTGTGGGTGTTTGTGTGGTAACAGAAGGCTTGCAGTCACATCAGCTGTTGAGGCACAAATCCAGGAATTCTATCCTCCCCTCTTCCTCCTTTCCTGCTTGCAACCGCACCTCTTAGCTTTCTCCTGAAGCGGTCTGCTTCCTCCCATCCTCCCCTGGCCTGAGCTGTGAGTGTCCCCTTCCTGGGCTAACACCTCTGCCCCCTAATTGACTGCTCGGTAGCCATACTGTCCTTCCTTTAGTCACTCTCCACACTATGACTGAGTGGCCTGTTTCAGGACTGCGAGTCTTATTTAAAGCTGTCAGAAGCCCTCTTTCTGCAGATCTGCTTTGGACGCAGAAGCCCCAGCATAGCCTGGCAGCCCGGAACGCCTCTGGAGCCCAGACCCATCCTGTGTGGCCTCGCTTCTCTTCCTGGTTCATGGCCAAGTCTGAGCACTTTCTCCTCCCTGGCCTTGGCACAAGCTGCCTCCCATATCTGAGGCTTTTTTTTTTCTTCCATGCCTCTTTCTCAATTCCTACCTGATTCTCTCCAGCGCTCACATTCAATGTCATTTCCTTTAAGAACAACTCAGGGAATACTTGGCCTGGCTTAGTCTTGTCCTGTCATACACTCTCTTCTGCCACACTGTTTAGAGTGGACCTCAAAATGCTAAGTCAGTGCTAATTGCAGAATGACTTTTTGGGTGTTGTCCCAGCCCAGAAGTAAGAATGTCAGCCCTGGTGCTGCCACCACTGTGCCCGAGGCTCGTGTACTCTCTGGGACTCGCTGCTGGCAGCATCACTCTCAAGTCCTTAGATCCGATCCTTGCAATCTGTCACAATCTGCGGGGCGGCCTGATTGACCCTCAGCTCTGCTTGGCAATCTTTTCCCCTTGGCTGAAAGAGGCTCTAGATGGTCCACACCAAGCAGCTAGTGTCAATAATGAGGGTTTGGGGGAAATTCACACTTAGTTTTAAAAACTCACGTGACATTTACATTATAGTCTATGATAGCACCTTCTAAAAATTAAGATTGCATACGTCACCACAAAACTCTAGCAGGAAAGTCAGTGCTCCCTGCATTGCCCTGCTGCTGGGACCTGGCACGGGGCATGGACCACGAGAGGAAATAGCTGAGATGGGTAGGTGGTACAGCAGTGCAGTGGTTGCCACCTGTGGCGGATGCCGTGGGTGGCCCAGGTCAGCCTCTTTATTCTGCACAATTGCAGTGGCCAGGTATTTCCGTTCCCGGCTGGTTTGTAGTTGGTTTGGCTTTGTTTTCAGTTCCTTTTAGGTAGAGTCTTGGTATGTTGTCCAGGTTTCTTTCGCAGTCACGGTCTTCCTGCCTCAGGCTCCTGAGCATTGGGATGAAAGGTATGCAGTAAGTTCCCATACCGCCGATATGCCCTGCCTAGAGCCCCTGCCTCTGTCTGCTTGTCAGCCTAAGGGCTACTTCTTTAGCTGTGGCAAGAGCCCCTTCGGTGTCCAGACTGCCCTACCTTTAAAGGTCACTGGGAGCTTGGGGTCCAGGAGACGGCTCAGTCAGTCAAGTACTTACTGTGCCGACAAGAGGACCTGACTTCAGATCTCCAGCCCACGTACGCAGCAGGACATGATGCCATGAGTCTCTATTCTAGTGCTAGGGAGGTAGAAAGAGGTACGAGGATCCCAGAACTGGCTCAGTCTCGCTGAATCAATGAATTCTGGGTTGACTGATAGACCCTGTTTTAATAAAATAAAATAAAAAATGATAGAAGAAGACAACCAATTTCAAACTCTGGCCTCCGCATGCTTGTTCTCTCTCTCTCTCTCTCCTCTCTCTCTCTCTCTCTATATATATATATATATCATATATATATGATATATATATATATATTTCTCTCTCTCTCTCTGTTTCTCTCTATATGTTTCTCTCTCTCTCCTCTCTCTCTCTCTCTCTCTCTCTCTCTCTCTCTCTCGGGATTCTAAAACCCTCAGGGCAACTGTCAACCTGTATGGGAAACTAATTGATGACAAAGCCCCTTATTGCCTTTGGTTGGCTAAATCTATTCGCAATGGATGCTAGACGGGATCCCCAGTATCTGATCTCAGTGATTCACAGAAGCTTGAATGGGAAGACAAATGAAGAGGGCCCCAGCCGTCAGGCCACATTCTAGCACATGGAATGCATGGGGGCATGGCAATGGCTGTGGAGTTGCCAGTTCTCAGCAGTGGAGAGCCACACACCCAAGCTCACCGACTGTGAACCCAGGGTGTGTCTTAGTTAAGGTTTCTATTGCTGTGAGGAAACACCATGACTAAAATCAACTTTCATTGAAGAAAGTGTTTATTTAATTTTATAGTTTATAGTTCATAATCCAGGGAAGTCAGGGCAGGGACTCAAAGTAGGAACCTAGAGGTAATATCTGATGCAGAGGCCATGAAAGAGGGCTGCTCACTGGCTTGCTTCTAGCACCCAGGACCACCAACCTACGGGTGGCACCACCCGTAGTGAGCTGGGCCCTCCCACATCCAGTGTCAATCAAGAAAATGTACCTCAGACTTGCTGACAGGCCAGTCGGGTAGGGGCATTTTCTCAGTTGAGGTTCCCTCTTCCCAAATGATTCCAGTTTGTGTCAAGTTAACATAAAACCATCCAGCTCAGGATGTGACTTGAAGCTAGCAGGTCTCTGCACCATGTTCAGACGTCCTTCTCCTGCTAGGCTGAAATGAGGTCAAGGTTAGCTTGATTTCTGCTGCCTGAAAGATCAAATGAATGGGCCCATAAGTTCTTCATGCTAAAGTTAACGTGAGACTGGGAGTTAGACAGACTGCCTGGTAGGCAGACAGACAGAGAGAGGGGCCAGGGTCAGGTAACAAAGCTGGCAAGGTTCCAAGGTGGCCTGCGTCTTCTGTGCCCTCTTGACTTGAGACAAAAGCCTGGCAGCATGAAGCAAAGGCCTTGTAGGCTTTTGCCTCCACCAGCAGTCACCCTGCTGATGGACTGGCTCAACAAGTTCAAGGCCAGATTAGAATGGACGTGTCACACACAGTTGCCAGCTAATCAATCATCCTGTCATTCTTAAATTGACCAACCCTAAATTAGGGAAGGAAACTTCTTCAGAGATTTAAATAAACAAACCCCAAAGCCAACCTTCCCGAAGAGAATGGGATTTTCAGTTTTCTGAGTCTCCACTTTGCAGAAGATCCTTTTACTCTGGGTGTCTGCTGCCTATGTGTGCTTCCTCATTCCCCCTCCCCCACCAAGAAAACACCTTTCAACTGTCAAGCCTGTCTGCAGTGCTCAAGGTCTTTCTGCTACCACTGTTGCGCTGCAGTTTTCCTGCCTTTTAAGTCTTTAACGGGCAGAGAAAATGAACCCGATAAGACCTCTAGACTGTGTCATCAGCACCTTGATAGGAAACGCTAGCACTCCAAAGCATGGAATGATTTATCAGTTGAATCCTCCAGGAAGAATATACCCGAGCCCACATGGGCATAGTGGAGATGTGCCAAGGAGAACCTCTGTGAATGCCGTGCTGAGCTAAGCAAAAGTGGGTGGATGGAGACTTACTCAGGCTACTATTGAAGTCAGCTGTGTATGGGAGGTGAGGGAGGAGGAGGAAGGGCCAGACCGGATCATCCTCAGATGGTAGGGATCTCAGAAAACTCTCAGTGAGACAAATGGAGATCTCTAGTTCAAGACCGTTCATAGAGGAGCCCACCATGTCCCATCACTGACCGGTGCTGTCAAGAAAGCAAGCAGACTTGGGCTGAAGGTGTCTGTATCTGGGGGCTGTGAGCTAACTTCACTTCTTGGCAATACTGGTGTCATGGAAGGAGAGCATATCTCTAGTCTGCAAAGGGGTCAAATACAATAGGTCACCTGGCTCCAGACCTGTGTGGCCTTGGGGAACTGATGCTCTGTCAGACAAGCAGAACGGGGCTGGCCACTTGTTGATAACAGATGTGAGGGTGTGCTTGAAGTCTTGGCTCTGTCTGGGATAATAATGCCAACACACAATAATCAAGAATCTTGACACCCACACACCCACAAAGGCAGGGTCTCCATATATATCTCTGGCTGTCCTGAAATTAACTTTGTAGGTCAAGCTGGCCTCGAACTCACAGAGATCTGCCTGTCTCTGCCTCTCAAAATCTGGGATTAAAGACATGCACCACTACAGCCAGCTAAGAATCTCGACTCTTTTTGGTGATAAGAACGCAGGGGCTCATATCAATCCTCCAAGGGTGGGATCTTCAAGACCAAGTCAGACAACTTTATTCAGTGTGTGCTTCAGGTGACTCTCATGTTGCAGGATATTTGATGGCGCTGTAAAACCCTAGACTGTGTTACTAAAATCAGCCTTGGGTCAGTGGGCAGAGCCAGCAACTAGTTGGCAGGGATTAGCCTTGGAGTGCAGAGGAGCCAGGAAGACTGACAGAGATCCACACAGGAAAGACTAGGAACGGACTTGGAGTTTCTCTGTCTTTTTGGTTTGGGACACCTGGAGAGGTGCTGCGCTTGATGCTTCTCGAACCAAGACTGAAGGTCAGCTGACCGCTTTTCAGCATCTCTGAGCGAGCAGGTTTACACCCCAACATCCGACTCCCAAGTCTTTATCGGTAAATAGAATGAAAGATTGAGTTAAAAACTACATTTGGCAGTAGTGGTAGAGGCAGTGCTTGCTCGACTGGAAATCCCACCAGACTGTGGCCTGAGCGGCGGGGCGCTGACTGCAGGTTCTGGGGCTGCAGAAGGTACTTAAAAGATCAGTAGATGCAGGTGCAGCCACTAAGTCAGTGGAAAAACAATACCCTCGTGCATCCAGGATATGGTTATAACTATGTAAAGAGGCCCAGAAGGTCAGACTAAAGGACTAGTGATGGATTTATCTAGTAACAGCCTCCGGTTTTCAGAGGCAAAGGAGCCAGGTGCTTGAGGTGTAATGGGATCTCTCCAGACTGATTTTTCTCATCACCAGATCTTTGCTTGGAATCTGAAGTGTTCCCAGAAAACTTGCGGATCAGAACACTTGATGCCCAGCCGGTGACAATATTTTGGGGGGTGGTAAAAATGTTGGGACATGGACCCCAGCTGACAGACATAAGCCACTAGAAGCGAGCCTTGAGGGTTTATACCCGGCCCCACTTCCAGCTTGCTTTCTGCTTTGTGATCTGCTAGGATGTGAGAAGTAGAAGCTGCTGGCTCCTCCCACTCCAGGTAGTCACCTACCGTGCCCTCTCCACTGCAGTGGACTATATTCCCTGAAACCATGAGCCGAAAGAAAACTTGGTCCCTTAAGTTGCTCCTGTTGGGCATTTTGTTGCAGTGATGAGGGACGTAACCAGTACTCCGCGACAAAGGAACCTTTCCATCAGCATGCTTGGGTACAGCTTGTCCTATCACTTCTGCATCACAGGGACAGCAAAGAACTTCATCTACCATGACTGCTACCACCAAATCTGTGAGCTGACGTGAGTAGGTCCCAGACTTAGTGAAAATACAGCATACCTAGCTCCATTTGAATTTCAGGTATGGAAAAAAAACAAAATAGAAAACATCTTAGTGTAAGTACATTGCAAACATTGCATGGATGTATTCACATACAATTCCTTATTACTTACCTGAAACTTAAATTAACCAGGAATCCTATATTTTTACTTGCTAAATCTGTAGTTAATACCTTGTCTCCCCCTCCCCCCCAGGAAGTGTTTGGCCTTCTTGCTGTGCTGGTCTTGAGACTTGGAAAAAGTCTCAGTCAACTGGGAATAATCTTATAGATACTGTAGACTGGGAAACTTAAGCAATAATTTATTTCTCATAGTTTTGAGAGCCAGGAGGTTCAAGGTCAGGGTGCCAGCGGATCTTGTGTGTGGTTAGGACCAGGTCCTAGTTTGTAGATGGCATTTTTAAAAATATCCTCGTAGAGTAGAGGGGAATGGAGCTTCTATCTCTCATTTTTTATAAGGATGCTAATCTCAAAGTAAGGATCTGACCTCATGCTGTCATGAGACACTGCCCCCAATGCCCTCATCTCCAAACACTGCTGACATTAGCATCAGCTGTGCATTGGTGTGTGTGCATTGGTGTGAGTCCGTGTGTGCGTGCGCATGCATGTATGTGTGTGAACATCATCTGTTGTACAGCAGAAGGCAGACCCAAATAACGAAACATGTAACTGGAAGGGGAGGAAGAGGAGAAGAGAAAATGGAATATTACAGGGAAGCGAACACCATGAAGAAGCCCAGCAGAAAGGCTAGAACAGGGTCTAGAGCCAACAGCCTCTCTTGCTTACTGCTGCCATTCTGGCATGGCACTGGGAAGGAACTGCATGTGTTGGGAGTGGCGGTCCAGACAGTCAATCCCAAACCTCATATCCACACACAGTCTAGCTTACCCTCTTCCCAGACAGAGCTGTGCAGGGCTGCCGGCTTTCTGCAAATAGGTTCTGCAACGAAGCTCTAACCCCAGCTGTGCAGTGTACGTGTCTGCAGGACTAGCGGCAGTCTGGGGCTGCGGTCACCGTTTTGTTCAATAACCATGGCAAACAATTTTCTGGGGGCTAGTCTGCTGTAGATTAATTTATTATAGCCTTCTATTGTGGCTAATATCCACGTGGCTCCCTTATATCTGAACAATGTGTTTAGCATGCAAACTAGCCCTCTAATTTGTGAGTGAATCGTTCCACTGGCTGCCCACGTGAAGATCCAGAGCCTTTTCTTTTCAAACAGAAATGTCTTTGTGGGGGAGGGGTGCTATGCCAGCATGAATGTGGGGATCAGAGGGCAACCCGTGAAAGTTGGCTCTCCCCTTCTACCATGTGGCCCAAGTGGTTGAACTCAGGTCTCAGGCTTGTTGCAAGTGCCACTGAACTGTCTCACAGCCCTAGAGTCCTTTCCAAAGGCCTCTGTTGGGCTTGTTACCGTGAAATCTGAAAATCTCCACTGTTTCTTAGAAACTGCAGGGGAAGATTGAGGGGAGGGAGGCTACTGCTTCCCCTTCCGTAAGGATCCTTGTCTGTCACGGGTACAGCAGTAACAAGAGCTGATGGTTAGGCAGCTCAGCCTCAACACCCTGCACACAGAGTATTCGAAGCAAGATGGGTTTTAGTTACTGCCTTCCATTCTCCCTTGAACAAAGACATGGCGTGACACTGGACACTCAACTAACCACAACATGGTACATGCTTAGTGACTGACCGCAGAGTGAGTGAGTGCTGAAAGGCTGGCGACATTGAAAGGTTTAAATAGGAAATGCCATCCTCTTCACTTTGTTATTAATAAAGGGTTTTTTGGACCCCAGCTGGTAGCATATTTTGGAGGGTTCTGGGTATTTTAGAAGAAAGGGCCTAGCTGGGTCATTAGGGGATTGTCCTTGGGGACATGTATTTTGCTTTAAGCTTTTTTTCTTTCTTTCTTTTTTTTTTTTTTTTGCCAAGAGTATCGGGGCTGGAAAGTCTGACAAATACAACCAGGTAGAGTGTAAAGAGAAAGAAGCAAAGAAACACCATGGCAGAGACACAGGACCTCTCAGGGGCATATGGAACAGCTACCAGGAGTGAAAAAATGTCTGACTTTGAACTTAAGATGTTCTTGAAAGGCCAGCCATTCTGAGATAGATGCTGCCATTATGGAGTAAAAGAGGAAGAGGCAAAGGAAGAGAAGATGAGGGAGAACAGACAGGAAAGAATTAACATCCTTAGTTGCTGGCCAGTGATGAA